CCTAAATCAAATATAAAGAATACCAAATCTCCCAAATCGAATCCCAGATCCCAGCCATAGAAAATCCCAGATCCCTCAAATCGAATCCCAAGGCACATAAAGCGAATCTCAAATCCCCCGATAAGAATCCCAAATCCCCAATGATGAATCTCAGATCCAAAAAATGAAGCAAAAAAAAAAAACTCAGATCCAGTCGAATCGAATGAACCCTAAAATTTGAAATAGATAAACGAAACCCAGATCTCCACAAAAAAAATCAACAATAAGGAGAGGAGAAGACGCCAACCTGAACCAAAGCGTCCTCCTTGCAGTCGTCTTCTACCTCCCACTACCGGCGGCGGCTTCTTCCTTTTTTGTCGGCGACGTCGTCGTCTTCTTTCTTCAAGGACGGCGAAAACCTTCCAAAAACTTCTTCCTCGTCAGGATAATTTCAACGTCGTCGTCGGTGTGGACTCAAACAAGCCGTCGCCAACCTCGCACCCTTCGTCGCCGTCGTTTGAAATTTTTGGTGGTGGTTTTCGGGAGAAGAAGGAACAGATAGGGAGAGAAACAAAAGATTTTTTTTGGAGAGAGTGGGGAGAATGAAAAACGCAGGTTGAGGGAGAGAGAAGAGGGATTGTGTTTGAAAATTTAGGGGTTTTTTTTTAGTTGTGGGCCCACTTCTCCCAAAACATGGCTCGCTTGGACTTGTCGAGCTGGCCCTCTCTTCCCCCTCACACGACGGCGCCGGTAAGCCCACTCCCTCCAATCGTGGCTCGGCGATGTGGCCTAATATCCCACTGTGTTAGTATCTACTAACCACTTAAAGGGTTAGCAGAATAACGCTATTGATTGAGAGGATGGAGGAGCTGGGTTTTGGCTGCCGCTAGCTCTTCCTTTCTTTTTGGCTTTAGCTTATCTTACAAAATATTAAAGCAGTTTGAGAATTGGCCCTTATCCACGTAAGCCCTCCTCAAAAGTTAGCCTGTCCACGTCAACGCTATATAAATCCTCTCTCCGGGAAAAAGAAATCCAGCCAGTTTATTTAACCCCTTGACTTCACAAGTCACAACCGCGCCGCCGTTCCTTCTCTAATCTCCAACCTTTTTCATCCCCGCGAGGCCGCGACAAAGCCTGGAAGAAGCAACTTCACCGTCGACGCAACGCATCCTACGCTACCAATACTTCGAGCCTTCCACAACATCCCAAATCAAAACAACAAGCAATCTTGAGTCCACTCAGAGGCGATCCTGTTTATATAGTCACGGCTCTCTGTCTTTGTCTCTGCTCTCAATCGGTTTGTGTATATGTTCTCCTTCCTCCATCTTTGGGGTTCTTCGGACAAGATGCTTTGTCATACTCGATTCCAAGTTCCAAATAGTAACATACTTATCCGGTAATCATAGGCCAATTGATGTTTCAAAATCACAATATATACGATGGAAGTGTGATTCACGGATGAGAAGCAAGATTGGTAATTTTTGCCTTCATGCAGATTAAAAAATCCCTTCTTTCTCCAGTAAGAGATCGTCATCTGCCAAAACTATAAGAGAAGTCACGAATGATTGTCACATGCATTGATATTATGTGAGTGATTAAGTTATTTTTTCTCATTCTATTCGGTTGCTTTTGTTCTTTTCATGCTGAATAATTTTAGGCCTCAAATTGTTGTTTGTGATGAATGTTAGTGCTTCACTTTCCAAAAGGTCCTCTGTTTTCCTCTTTTGTTCTGCATTTTGTTTCCTTTGCTGTTTAATTTCAGGATTGATCTCTCAAGTTATTAGTCATCTCTAAATTGGTTGTCTCTAATACAATTAAAATATACTTAATTAGCCACATCAGGGTAATCAACCATATCATTATAGATACCTAAATCAAATGGTTCATTGTCTACTTTGCAGTTTTCAGTTAAGAATTGGAGACATTCAATTACATTCCGCTATAAGCAGAAAAGTTAAGAGAGTAATGTTCAATGAAGACATGACTTCCTTTTGACTCTACGAACAACAACGCTAACTGATTGGCAAACAATCCCACAAATGACTACTATGCATGCATAGTATATCACCTTTCAATATTAGTTATATATTTGGGAACTTCTAATCCTTTCATCGTGCTTTATGGGTATCAACATTAGATGTTGAGTTTATACACTCGGACAAATTAGACACTTCAATGTTGATAAACTTTAGTAAATGTGTTTATATTTATTTTAATCTTTGTATACCTATGGTTGTTTATTCATAAAGATAGTATGGTCGTCTATATTTCATGGCTACATGAAGTGAAATCCTGTCATTGAAACCATAAAAAACTCCATTAATTTGTAATCCAACAACCCAGACAACAAGTTGCCACACAAGAAAGTGAATCCAAATTAAAACTAATCACGCGACGACATAGACTATCTTAGAAATAATAAAGAAAAATACGAAATAAAAATAAAACATGAATATTTAACCCGGCCAAAGGCCGGGCACAAAGCTAGTTTATATATAAATAAGGAATAGGGTGGATGTGTATGGGGAATTGGGTAGGATTAGGTTTAGGGTTTGAATAGTTCTAGGGTATTTTGGGAATTTCACAAATTATGGGTGAGTTTAATCTGCAACTCAATAAATGTCTATAACTCTCATTTTATGTCAAAACACGACACCGTTCGGACCAAGAATTCACATTTTTAGTCCTCATTGATATTACGGTGGAACTTGACAAATTTTTTTGGGAAAAATGGTCATTTTGTCTTAATAAAAAGATGGGGTGTAACAAAATAGACATTACCCTTCCTTTTTACCATTAGTTTGAGTACAAATCCCAATCTGACACCCGAATGCCAATTGAAATTACTTACCATTACCAATTCTTATGGGTTATCATTTATCAATCACGGCCTCCGTAGAAAAAAAATTAACAAGGCCAAATTCAGAGTCTCCTTCTCGCATAAAGTGCCTCCGGCGAACCGTGCGAGTTTGAGCGAGGAAATGGTAACCCCGCAGACCATGAATTTAGGGCGCTCCCTGGATGTTCCGACCATCCATCCATGATGGAGTATCCAAGGCAACGTGCACTGACCTAGTTGATAGAATCTACTCTAGTCAAAGCTTCATCATTAATGTCGTTTGTCGTGAGTGTGACTTTGGCCCAATCGTTTCTTCCATCTAGTGCCCGCGAGTACATTGACAAGAGAGCATTCATCTAGGCAACATGGAGAGTGGTCGAAAGATGAATTTGGTAGCTAGATTGGAAGACTCTCTGTAGAGCAAAGAAGGAGGGCGGTTTGGAACGTCGAGACTCGATAGGGACGAATTAATCTTACATGCCGAAGACAACGTGGCGACTCCTCACCAAAAACAAATTATTATCTATGGGGTCTTGTCATCGAAGTGAAGTACTTGCGGCAACAAGAGGACTGATTCGCTTCAAGGACCCAAGGTATCCTTTCAAATTTATGGTGAGACGTATTGCGAGTTTGGCATCTGGTGGACGAGGGTATCGTTTAGAACGTTAGAAATGGTCATTGTGAAAGATTTTGTAGCGGTTGTTGGCTGAATAACCGAGAGTCGCTGCTAACATGTGATCACAACCTCCCCTGAGTTGAGGCTTTGGCGCTTCATGTAGTTGACTTTTGTTGTGTGATAAATGGAACTCTGACTATTTTTGGTACTACTTATCCCAGGATATTATCTCACAGATAATGCTATACCTGATTCGAGCGGAGCAAGAAGACAAAGTTGGCACATGGAGATTCTGAACCGATTGTGTTAGAGGTAATCAATAGAGTTGTAATACCAGATTGATGGGAGAAGAAAAGTATAAGAATTGAGTATTTTGGCAGCTTAATTAACTAATTAAATTTTATATTAATTAATTAACGTTTGAATATTGTAAAAAGATGTGTCCTTCTAGAAAGGTAACTTTCTTTTTTTCTGTAAAAGGATGTGTCCTTTCGGCAAAGGTAACTACATTTTTCTGTGAAAGGAAGTCTCTTTTCGGAAGATAACTTCCAGTTTTCACAAGTATAAATGTATGACTGTCATAACTCTTTTTAATACGAGAGAACTCTTCTTCTACCCATTTCCTTCTATATTTCATAAACACATATTTCTGCAAGATTACTGCTTCCAAACTTTGAATTGAAGGGACTCTTGAGGGTAGTTTGCTAGATCCTACCAGTAATTTGTAGTGGGAACAAATAACACTCTAATCACGCTTTCAATCGATTATTTCCTACCAATTCCTGATATATGGTTGCTTCTCCGTAAAGATGCCGTACCACCTCATCCCACCACGCTCCCATGAGTTTATGCAGCCGCACCTTAATTATTTGTGGAGTTCCAAGTTTCAACCATGCAACGCATACGTATGTTCCTATGGCTTCTTACCCATGACACCGCCTTAATTACCATAGATGACCACTTATTCACTTTGCATAGTGTGCAATGAATAATAGTGAATCATGCATTCCGCAGTCCAATCATGTGGGAACTTCCTTCCTTGTACACCTATGACTTCTTCGGTTCTTCCAACACTAATACATATTTAACCGAGCTAGCATATTGAAGTCGAAAGGATCAACTCATAATGACATTGTCTGATTTGCCTCCAGTGAACACTTTCAGTGTAGAATCCATATGCACATGCAATGCCGGCGGCCACCACCCGCATTGGTTCAACTACTGAGAAAAAAGTGTGGAAGTACGACCCCATGATATTTCTTAAAGACAAATTTAAATGCTTGTTGTGATAGAGAGTGAAGATCAAGCTGGAAGCTCGAAGACAAGTGCAGCAGCAGAAGACCAGTAACCTGAAGCTGATTAAAGTTTCGAAGACCAGAGAAGAGAAGAAACGTTTCCTGTTTTCTTACTTTATTGTTGTAAACGTTGTCGTCTTGTTGTTATGCTTTGTAGACGTTAAACACTCAGGATAACGACCTGTCAAGCTGAGACATGTGGCAATCTCAGTTTAAACAAGTCGTTAATCACTGTATAACGGTATAAATAACAAACAACTGGAAACCTCACTGCTTTGAGGGTTTCCGATCAATCTCTGCCGCCTCCTTTACTTTTCTTTATGGTATCAGAGCCTCTGCTCTGACGATTGCTCTCCGCCGGGATGAATCAGACGCCGCCGCAAACTCCCCCTCAGGGCAATACTTCTGGTGGGTCTAGTGCGTTTCAGTTTGGGAGCTTCAATATATCGTCAGATCAGAGTGGCAGAGTTGAGATCCAATTTGGTAACCCCTACTACCTTAACCCTAATGAGAATCTCTCCCAATCGATTGTCTCTGAGGTCTTTGATGGTACCAACTATTCGATGTGGAGTAGATCTATGCGCTTGGCTTTGAAAACAAAGCACAAATTGGGTTTTGTTGATGGGTCTATCTTGGCACCCCCCACGACTGATGAGAGGTATTACCTCTGGGATGGCTGCAACACTCTTGTTCTTTGCTGGATTATGAACTCCTTACAAAAAGATATTGCTCGTAGCATGATGAGTCATGAAAATGCCCGTGTTCTGGGGGAAGAGTTATGCCGCCGCTTTGCTCAACCTAATGCTCAGCGGATTATCAACATGGAAGACGAGATTCAAGCTTGCAAACAAGGCGATATGACTGTTCTTCAGTATTACACGAAGATCCAAGGGTTGTGGGAAGATTATCAATAGTTCTCCCCCATTGTTCCATGTGCTTGTGCACCTGGTAACCCACTCCCTTGTGCTGCTGTTGAGGCCTTCAAGGCCAAACATGATACTGATTACCTCATTCGCTTTCTTCGTGGCCTTAACAAGGATTATGAGGTGGTCAAGACACAATTGCTAATGCGCAAACCCCTACCTACTGTGTCTGCTGCTCTTGATGACATTTTGCAGCATGAACAGAAGATTAAGGGAGACACTGCTCACTCCAAGCCTGGTCAGTCTCTAGCATTAGTAATGGGTCGTGATCGACCTCGTTGTAAGCCTGAAGGGGACACTCCGAAACTTTTTTGCCGCTATTGCAAAATGAACAATCATGAGATCAAGGATTGTTGGCGGTTGAATCGCAAAGAAAAGGAGAAGGAAGGTTCATTTGCTGGTTCTGTTTCTCATGACTCTCCTTCTTCCGACAGTAGTACTCTTTCTGATGGTAGTGCTAGTCCATCACTGAGTATTCGTGGACTTTCCACTGAAGATGTGCAGAAACTCAAACACCTCCTGCAATATGGCATTGATTCTGGTCCTGTTTCTCCTGGCTCTCCACACATTAATCACAAGGCATTTTCTGTCTCTCGGTACTTACCACAGTTTCCCAATCACTCTGGTAAGTTTATCCTTTCTTCCTACAATGAGATGGATGATTTAGCCTTGGACAGAATGTGGATTTTCACTGGGGCCTCAGATCATGTCACATGTAGTCTCTCCCACTTTGTTGACCACATTCCTGTTACCAACACCTATGTTTACTTACCTAATAGTTCTAAGGTTCTAGTAAGTCACATATGTACAGTCCAACTCCCTACTGGTATGCACTTGCATAATGTCCTTCTGGTTCCTAGTTTCACTTTCAATCTTGTCTCTGTAAGTAAACTGACTAGAGATCTCCCAGTTTCCTTACGGTTCCATTCCACTGTTTGTGATATCCAGGACCAGTTGACCCAGCAGAGGATATTTAAATGCTTGTTGAGGAATAAGAAATCTACCTAATGGTTGGGAAGGTGATACCAAAATAGCAAAGTGTATGGGATCGGAGCCAACACAATGAATGAAAAGTTGAAGTTTTTCAAATAATTCGAGTTTTTGGGAGAAAATTATGATAGATCTTATACCACTATTTTACACGCTCCCTCAAGCGAAATTCAATTCATGGGCTTGAAGTTTGCACAGGTTCACCATACCTTGTGCTTTAATCAACGGTTAATATTGGAGGTTGTAGAGATTTGAGCACATGACCACATGACCATACCAAACGACTCTAATACTATGTCAAAACCAATTGATTCCAATAACCAAATTGTTGATAGAAAATTATTATACATCTTATATCACACGCACTCGATTGAATTGTTCCGCACACTTTTTGTTCAAGTGGGTGGAGAAAGAGATTTTTTTTTTTGGCGTGTAGCTATCCCCCATGTCTATTATGTTTCTTCATTGGAAAACCGTAGCCACTGGTACATTGACATTGATATTGATATTGATATTGATATTGATATTTGATGAATAAATTATAGGAAAGCAGGCATGTGTGGAGTTTGGGCTTGAGAATGAGATGTTTTGGGTGGCCAGAACAATACATTTTTTTGTTACATATTTTTTTGGGGTAACGAAGGGAGGGAAACACCCCAGAGGAAGTACCGAAGTAGCTTGTGGATCGATTGTTCCAGAAACGTATCTACCTGAATAGTATTAAAATATGTTGGGAAAAACCCATGAAGAGGCTGAGAATTTGTTGGAGGTGAGAAAAAATAAAATAATAATATTATTATTATGATGATCATACAACTATTTTTATAATAATAAAAGAAATGGTATGTCTATGGTAACTTGCTAGTCAGCATAATTTGGAAAAAACGATCGACCTCTTTTACCAAGTGGTCTACCACTTGATTCAATCAGTCTACCACTTCTGAAAATGGGTCGGCCTGATGACACACTTACCTTCAAATGGTCGATCTTTTTCACCAAGTGGTCGACCTCTTCCAGCAAGTGGTCTACCACTTGAGTCAACCGGTCTACCGCTTTCAGATATGGGTCGACCTGATGACACAATTACCTTTAAGTGGTCGACCTCTTCCACCAGTGGTCGACCACTTTCCAAGAAAACGGTTTACCACTTCCATCAAGGGGTTGACTCGCCAATACCGTCACACTAGAAAGTGGCCAAGTGTAACTACAAACTAATGCGTAGTATAGCCGGTTTAGCTTTACTTGTCATCCTAGGTCCTAGATTTGATGACTACTCCGTGAAGTTCTCGTTATTCAGCAATTTGAACGTAGTGAAGTTGTATTTAATCTAATCAAACACAAAGCATATGTGATTCAAGTTCGGGAGAGGTCACCCGGATATGGTTCCCCCTTGATTGTAGTTAAGCCGAAGTGTAATTCACCAAGTTCATATATAATGATAGTTATACAATAGAAGGTTCTTATTCAGTCTCAAGTCTCGACTAAAGGTCTTCAGATCCTCCCAATCTGAATACCCGACGGGCTACTAGCCTCTACTAGAATAAACGAACTAAGGTCATAACGTGCAAAACCTCCTCTACCGCATCAAATCCCGTACAGAGCGGTGAACTGACTTTTCGACTAAAGTAGTCAATTCACCACCTTCATTCAAGGGTGCTCTATCAACCTATGCATATATTCTCTTTCTAGGTCAGAAGTAGAAACTACAAGAATGACACAAAACTCATGCAATTCTGAAATCATGCCTCAGTTGAATATAATCAATATCAAAATGTCATGTACTTGGGTTCATACAATCAAACCTAACATACAACTCTAGGGTTCTTCATACCCAGGTGAGAGAGGGAGTTTACTCCATAGAGAGAGAGAGAGAGAGAGAGAGAGGAAATCAGCTTCAGATGCAGAAATCATCATGTAGAGGATGGAGTTCAGCTTCCGGTTCTCTAGGCTTCAATCAAGCTCCAATGGTGTCAAAACTCGATCTAGGTCACCTTGGAGGATGGGTTCGTCACTTTCTCTCTCTAACTCTCTATTTTCTGCTCTAAAACTCGGCTATGAGACCCAACCCCGTGTTCAGCTTGTAACAGCCCGAGCTGGCGAAACACGGTCCAAATACTAGATCGGGTATTTTAGGGTCAGATCGGGTATTAAATAAACAGTGTGCAGCAGATTCTCGCACAAAGGGGAAAATACCCGACCTCAGGTAAAAATACTGATTGGGTATTTATGGTTCACGACCGGGGGGCTCCTTGTCCTCACTAGAGAAATACCAGACCTCTGTTGCCTATACCCGATCGGGTATTTAGGTGACCTGACCGGGTATTTACCCCTTCCATCTCCACTATTGCCAACTCTCCATTTTTTACCCGAAACTCGCTTCCAAGTCTCCAATTCCGCTCCAAGTCCTGAAATATGACATAAAAGAACAACCTAGCGTGAAATCAGCTTAAAACATGAGAATTGACTCCCAAACGGTACAAGGATAGTGGGCAAAACATGTGTAAATATCGGGTTATCAGCGGTCCACCACTTGAGGCAATCGGTTTACCGCTTCAGGCAATGGTCGACTAGTGACACACGTACCTTAAACTTACACCTGCTTGTTGGAGGAGGTAGATTGCTTCCGCCAAAATAGCCTACCGATTTCGCAAAATGTTTTACGTATCTCTTTTGGCAAACAATCTCCGCTTTCTACGAACGGTCGACCAGATAAAACGGTTACGTTATGCTTGCATCAGGAGACAATAGGAGACCAACAATATAAAATTATTTTATAGTAGTGCAACATCCTATCACCTGCAGGAAACTCAATCCTTACGCAGATTATAGTCCAAGAACTCTTTTGGAATAAAAATCCACAAAGCGATGGTGATATCACTCGAGAAACTATCATCTATGCTTGCAACCTTTATACTAAATTTAAATCTCTTACTAGCAAGCATATCTATTATATTGGACTCTAATTATATATGATGATATCATTATCAATGGTTCATCAGGTGGACCAATTATTGAAAGAGGTGGACCGCTTGGGGAAAGAGATTGACCACTTGATGGAAGTGGTAGACAATTTTTTTTTTTTTTGTATAGTGGATGACCTTTTTGGTGGAAGAGGTCGACCTTTTGTTGAAAATAGAAAAATGGAAATAGTACATCTTGTCGACCATTCCAACAACGAGGTCGACTTTTTGTCCAAATAGGTCGACCATATCATTGAAGAGGTTGACCCTTTTTTTCAAGTCACGGTGAGTTGGAAGTCACCGTAGCAAAGTCCTAAAAGAAAAGGTTGATCAAAATGATGGCTGAAAATATATATTTTCCAGATAGAAAAGATGAACCAGGAGGGGATCGAGATGAGGTGGAGCCGGTCAGGTTAGACAGAAAAATAGGAGAAAAGTACGTTGAGAAAATAAGTTTGTCTGCTTTACTCGAGATTCGACATGTGTTAAGAAATCTCTGCATGATGAAGAACAGTGAACTACATTTGAGAATCATCAATCATTAATTCGACTAGTGGCTAGAGGAACCATTACTTGAGTGGGTTTTCGCCTTGTACTTAGTTAGTTTAGTCTTTTTTTGTTAGAATAGTTTAATAATCCGTAAAGCTAGATTGGCTAGATACTAAACTAAACATGAGTAAAAGTACACTTGGAGAATCTTGGATTCCATATTTATTACTTGTCGTCACTATATTGTGATCTTGTCATTGTTTTACTTGAGGTGAAGTATTTTGCAAACCAACATAGTTAGGGTTCCTCAAAATCAAGTGAAGGGAAGTTACTTCATTAAGAGAGAAGGAAATACATATGAGAATATGAAAAACTTCACTGTGGTAATGAGATTCTTCTTATAATCGGCAATCTCCAGTTCTAAACTTGATTCTCAAACTCCAATGGTAAAGAGATCCACTAAAAAGCTTTAAGAATGTTTTCAAGTTTCTTTATCTCTAAGGGTCGTCCCCTAGGTGTTTGGGATCCAAAAACCTAACTCCCACCTTCAGAACTCGCAGCTACCCATTTACACACGCGAAAGAGGAATGTCAGGGGCTCACGACCTAAATCACCGATGTGGCATTCCTCATCCATGTCGTGACAATCTAAAGCTTTCTATTTCATCAAGTGGTTTCGAGGGATCTTACGGTTTGGAAATGAATTTCATGTCCAGACCGTGACTTTGAGGGTCAGGCTGTGGCATTTAGATAAGCTCCTCTCTCTTTTGTGCATCTCATGGTTTAGAGTATAAAGTTACGATATTGACTGTGATATTGCTCCCTTCGGTCGTGACATCTTCATTTGGCTCACTTTAGTCCCTTTTGACCTCCAAACGTCTTGAAACTCGCTCCTAAGCTTCCTCCACGTGTATTGACTTCAAATATGACAAAGAAACACAACCTAACGCAAAATGGACACATGATAGGGCGTTTTGAAGACAAATGGTCAAGAAACAATAAAAAAACGATGGTTTGAATATGTATAATAAAGCATGTATAACGAATTCCATTAGTCCAATAAGCAGTGTTGATCGTGCTTTTAAGTTTAACAGATTTCATTGACGAAATAAACATATTTTTCATTATTCAAAAAATTCGTTTTATTTTTTAGAGTTGTCAAAGTTTTGATTTTACAGGTATGCCTAAACTAAATCACACACAATTCAATATTAAATTCAAATCCGTTTTGCTTGAGTTTGATTTCAGTTGTAGTCTCTTCACTTTAGCAATTCGAGTTTGTATATTGGATACATATGAAGTTTGTAATATTTGCTAAGATGCTAGCAATTTTGGAAGGGAGAAAGACAATAAAAAGATTGCGTAACAAAACAAGAAAGCATAATACAATATTCTGGTTGGGCTTTTTGACTTCTCGTCTCCAAGTTGTCACTTTCTCACGAGTCACGAATCCTCCTAAGTCTAAACACTGCCTCTTCAATTCTCCCCCAACCTTCATAACTTGTGGCCACAAACATTTTCTCGGCGGCTTTTCTTTTTGGTGAATATCCCTTTTCACCACACACCACTTGTGATTAAACAACAGATAAACCAACCATACGTGATAGCTGAAAAAAGGAAGATCAAAACGAGATTCTTTTTTTGTGAAGTTGAGTGGTACCAATTAACCAATCTCACATCCTATTTTCGCTAGCTACTATTCTTCCCGTGTCTTTAGTGCTTGATAATTCTTTTTATTTTTATATCTTTTTTATGGTTATTTTTATAAAAAACACTCAACCCTACGAAAGG